AATCATCATACCAAGAATAATTAAGCATTTTAATGATACAGTAATAAATTCAATGCAATTTGGAAGGTTATAAATTTAAAAAGATACGTTATAAGCATACTGTTTATAAAGACTTTTAAATTTTAAATGCATTATTGCTCCCCCCCTCCCCTTGGTAGCTTATTAGTAATACTGAGAGCTTATGGCGTTAAAATCTGGGTTTCCATACCTTTGATTGACACATTGCAGATAGGCCACTGTACAATTTTGTTCATAACAGTGAAAAAACAAATATATCATTTAAAGAAAAATAATTAATATAATAAGTGAGTTGAAACCTGTATTGAAAGACCAGTTAATATAATAAGTGAGTTAAAACCTGTATTGAAAGACCAGTTAATATAATAAATGAGTTGAAACCTGTATTGAAAGACCAGTTAATTAAGGAAAAGAAATTTATTACGACGTTTCAAGCAAGACTTCTCCATCTCTGCAATGTGACTAAGTGCACTTACATATGATCAAACCATGTTTTTTTTTTTGTTTTCTCCGCTGAACTTTTTTTGTGATGCAAATCAGTATGATGAACAAATGGTTATGCCTTTCTTTGTTTCCATCGCGAGATTGCGAAGTTCCAAGTGGTGTCATTATTTGAAAAAAAGCACGCTGTTCTCCCTCGCTAAGGTCATACGATACGAAAAGTGTTAGCTCTGCTTTTAGGTTACTTCGTTTGCTTTTATGCGAGTTGTATCAGCGATCCGATAATGTAATAAAAAACATTTCAAATGTCGCTGTTGAAAGAAAGGGTTTAAGCTTTAAGAAGAGTTCACCAAACCTACATTATTACAACACAGCGCTTCTCAGCCACTCATAACATTTACTACTAAACCAACACTACCACGAAGTAGTAGTAAATAACCACTAAACCAAAATTATCACATAACTTTTATCACTAACTCAACAAAACCAGAAGTTAACAACACCTACTCACTGGTAAAGTTATCACTAAACCAATATTATCATAAGGTAGCAGCACAGGACCACTCATACGTTTTACCATTAAATAAAAAATACCACGAGATCACAGTGCGTAAGAACTACTACTCTTACGTTTAATCAACATTATCATTTGACGATAGCCCTAGTCACTGGTATGTCTTATCAATACAATAACAATGCCACAAGATGGCGTCTTGTATTTATTTGAACGTAAAGATGTTTGAGAACAGAAGGTAGAACAGCACTGGAGGCTGTAAATGATTTTTATATATGTATATCATTTACACACTCTCTTTCTTTATCCTAAAAGTTCAGCTTGATTTTCAATTTCAGTTCAAATATTTTTACTTAAGATAATTATTTAAATGACCGGTATACATTTTACATTACGTGAAATGTATGTACGTGTATAAATTATGCATGCACGTAAAAACAGTTTTGTTCAGCTAACTGTAGAGGAATGACAAAGGAAGAAAGCCAGTGTTTCAATTTATTAAGCACTAACTGAACACCCCCCCAGTGGCACAGCAGCATGTCTGCGGACTTACAACGCTAGAAACCGGGTTTCGATACCCGTGGTGGGCAGAGAACAGATAGTCCATTGTGAAGCTTTGTGCTTAACGTCAAATAAACAAACAAACTAACTAACTGAACATAAACAAGGAAATGAACTTCATCGAATTGTTAGTTTGTGTGTGGAAGCTTCCTGATGGACAGGATATGCATTTCCTCATATTACAGCTTATCTGAGTTCGTATATATCGGAATGTTGTTCTGTTCCTTTTAAAGGAGGGTTACCAGGAGTTCACTACTTTTTCAGTCGGGTGTTATATTTTTATCATGGGTTTCGGGGAACTTGCTTTCAGTTATTGGTGTAGCTTTCATCTGCTAGTTTGAACCACGAGTGAATAGCTTTTATTCCCCTCATCAAGTTATCTCTGAAGGATATTATCCAACATTTATCAATAAAATGTCGTTGATGACGAAAGATCTACCTGCATCTTTAGCGAACTGTTGTCCAAGCTGTAACTATAGTCACAAGAGTAATTAATTAAGAATTTTGATTGGTTGCATTATGGGGATTTAGAAAGGGGGATTGTTTTTACAAAATAAAATACATACTAGAAAAATGGCACACAAATAAATAGTTGAAAACTATTTGAATACATATCAACATTTCACAAATGCTTATTCAGAGTATCGTGTACGATACACGGAAACGAATTTGGAGCCTCACCATGCCGTTAGAGTCTATGTCGCTAGGTCCGGTAATGCTCTATCTGACAATTATGCATTTCAACAAAAACTGACAGCTTAATTTCTATTGCAAAAATCTTCATCGTTAGACTCCTATGTCTAAAGCACACCACTCCTCCCTGCAAGACTCCCACAATCCATCTAATTTATGAGGACAACGGTTTTAAAGACCCGTTTCAACACATAGAAATTCAAAGGCACTGCCTCTAGCTATTTGGCCGGTATGTATTCTGTGGAATAGAGGATTACCAATTTAATGTTTCAGCTTATGCGGTCAGTAAAGATTGGACAGGTATGTCATGGAAGCAACTTGTTTCACACAACTTGTGCCGATATTTTTTTCTTATCTTTGTATTCGTTGAGTTTCACCTGTTAAAAGTTGTGAATATGCTTACCACGACTAGGGTGCAAGTTATTGTATGTCTGTTATCTATTTTTGGAGGGTCCTGGTGCTCTAAGTTGATACAATTTTACAATGTCATTAATTACAAGTCACCTAAAAGTCACTTGAAACAGTCACCTAAAATAAATTCCTCTCGTGTTCCACTAGTTATCACATATCACCCAAAAACCTACCCCGGATACTGAAAAAGCACTTTTACCTCCTTCAACTTAATGATAGACTAAAAACTATTTTTACAGAAGTTCCTGTTGCTTCTTTTAGGAAAAAAAAAAGACTTTGAAATCCCAATTAGTGCATGCCAAAATTAACTTTAATGCAACACCTGGTGGAAGTTATCCCTGCAATGGCAAACGTTGTCAAACCTGTAAGTTCATGCAGCAGACTAACAATTCCTCTGATAAATACAACCGAAGACAGTTCAAAATCAATAAACCCATAACCTGCACTACAAAAACGCCATTTACTTAATCCAGTGCTAAAAATGCAACTTTCAGTATATAGTCCAAACTAAAACAACTATACGGGAGCGGTTTAATAACCATAAATCTTCAATAAAAACGAACAAAGAACTTCCGATTGCAGAACATCTTAACATGTCTGACCACTCTCTTGACGACATGATACTGGCAAATATAGAGACAAATTTTACATCAAACAGAAACAGGGAAATTAAAGAAGCTTACTGGATAGCACTGTTAAATACTGTAACGCCGAATGGCATCAATCTCGATCCTGGGATTCTTGCCTATCGAGCGTCTCTACAAAAATTCCGAATAACTTGTAATTAAGTTTGTGAAGTTTTATTATTATTATTATTATTCACATTTTTTTTTCATGCTTCTATTTCTCTGCATTATCATTATTTCAGTTATCGATTTACATTATTATTTTCTCAAGCTCTCATCTTCCTATGTATTTTATTTTTATCTATCAGTCAAAAGTTTCATACATAATGAAAATTGATAACATGTTTTTTGGTTTTTTTTTCTTCCGGGAGACTAACTACTTGAGTTGGGATTGGCTGGTCACCGGATTTAACTCAACTCGGATTTTCGGTTTACATGACGTCACACGTCCTACTATATATTGCATTGCACAGGCTAAAGGTCACCCTTTGTTCTCCTGAAGAAGAATAGTCAACTATTCAAAAGCGCTAGAGTTTTGGGTCTTATTTTAAGTTTATTACACTTTATATGTGATCTTTTGTGCTAACTATTTTATCGAGATTAAATACAAGTGATATTCCCGTCTTGGAAATTATAAATCTCCATCTGAACACATTTGGGTTATCCGAATGTACGAATATTTTGCATCGGAAGGGATGCAATTTCCTTCCTAAAAACTATCATTTGCATCGGAAGGGATGCAATTTCCTTCCTAAAAACTATCAATTTTTGGTCACTTATGCTGCCTGTAAAACGCCAAGCAATGTCAAAACATAGTTTATATCGGCTGTTGTGTCACGTTATTTGCTAATTTGCATATTCAAAATCGTTTTAATATAAAGTAATCAACTCTCTCTCTCTCTCCATTTCTTTTTCGAAATCTATCATCTTCACTTCTCTCACAAGCTATGAAACATTACTGTTCTAATTGCAGTCCTCAACTGATCGAAAAGTTGTTTCAGTATGAGTAATTATGCTTCGTAAATTGTAGAACGAATGTCTCGCGTATTAGCTACATGGTAGAAAATTATATCAGTCTGAATATGAGCTCCGTGTTTCGGTAATCTAATCTAGGTCTAATGAAAACCACCCTTGAATCGTTTTAAACAAACAAATGAAAACAACAAAAACACCATATCACGGGTATGTAAAGTTCTATCATATCTTACGTATCTCTGAATTTCTTGTAATGCAAGTTTACTAAAACAAATAAACGAATGGCAAGTATTTCAGATTTAGTTATTTCTGGTTACGAAAGAGAATATTTTCCTAAAATATCAAAGAGGTGAAAATTCTTAAAACTAATATTTCTCCATTGACTTTGGGCATGTTTGAAGTACAGTATATAATGCTTTATGGAACTTAGATCTGTCTATAAGTGGAAAAGTAAAGAATCAACACAACTAAAATCCTTGAAACCAAAGAAATTATTAAAAAGTATCATACCCTAACACGCTTGATCTCTGTAGACGTTTTGCGCTCAGCACAACTTTCTTAGTTGTTTTTTTTAATTAGGGCATTTAGTTACTAGCTTCTTCTGCCAGGTGGGGTTAGTGATTAGATAGACCAAGGTGCGTCACATAACCGGGAGGTTGTTTCTAGCACATACTCTATTGGAGGTGATCGAATAATCTGTGTAGACATTCATGATAGGCTAGGCTGGCAGGCTTTAGACAAAACGAGTCGAATCAGGAGCCTAGTAACCACGGCGGAACTCTATTATCAAGATGAAGAACGTTAAGGTGGCTTACAGTGTCTGCAACGTATCAAACAGCACGGGTGGTGGTATGAGGCGCAGCGGTTGCTGGCTCGATGTTTCAAGGCAGGTCGTACCGGTAAACAAGACCAGTGCAACTGGAAGAAAGACTGTATGGAATGATAGGAGTGAAAGCGGGGGCCGTTTCGTCGAGATTCTTCAAGGTCTTTTTAGAAGAATCGGTTATACGTGCTCATCTTTTCAACCAAGAATGTTGTTGAGAAATTTTCTTAACTTCTATGATCTGCTACTGTATGTCATGGTGGGAATGGTGGCGATGCTGTGTTATCTGAACTCTCTGAATGGAGATTTGATACACGATGACATTGTAGCTATTACAACAAATCCAGACGTTCTGGGTCATACTTCATTACGTGAGTTGTTTCTCAATGACTTCTGGGGGAAACCCATGGCAGACCCATTAAGTCATAAGTCCTATAGACCTCTGACAGTACTCACATTTAGGTAAGGATTATTAGTGACATAGTTTACATTGTAAACGTTCTTTAGAGCATTGTAAAAACTTACACTTACTAAAATTGATAACTAACAGAATAAGTCAACACATTAGAAATATTGTAATATATTAAATTTCTGAAATACTTTATTATTATCATTTTTGATTCGACCAATTGTTCTATTGTTAAATATTTTATCAAATACTAAGATGTAGGTTTTTATAATAATGTAGTATTGTATGAATTGACTTACTGCAATGTTATAATTTATTAGTTTATTCTGTTTAATATAACTTATTAGAAGCTAGATGTTTATTATAATAATGAAATTATTTTTTGTACATATTGACTGGCTGTAATATCATAGTTATTAGCTTACTCTAATTAATGTAGTTTTAGTATAAATTGACTTACTGTAACATTATTGTTATTAGCTTACTCCAATTAATGTAGTTTTAGTATAAATTGACTTACTGTAACATTATTGTTATTAGCTTACTATAATTAATGTAGTTTTAAGTATAAATTGACTTACTGTAACATTATTGTTATTAGCTTACTATAATTAATGTAGTTTTAGTATAAATTGACTTACTGTAATATTATAGTTATTAGCTTACTCTAATTAATGTAGTTTTAGTATAAATTGACTTGCTGTAACATTATTGTTATTAGCTTACTCTAATTAGTGTAGTTTTCTAGAAACTAGATGCCTATTATAATATTGCAATTATTATGTAAATCACACCCTTTATGGGAATTTATGCCAAATGCAAATCGAAACATTTGCACTGAAAGGAACAAAGTTTATTGTATATTGTTTTTTCCGTTTTTAAGTCGTAACTTTATTTTCTAAAATGTTTTCTGATTCTGTAAATTTAATTACCTGATACAAGACTTTTAAAAAATTCATTCAACTAAAGCCTCAAGCTAGAATTTTTCGTTCGCCATGAATATTTAGCATTACAAACGAAAAAAAAAACGTAACATACGCTAATAAATAAAAGAAATGAAGTTTTGAATGAATAAACGAACAAAAAATAATAATAAGGATTTTGCCGAGAATGTAAAGAATGTTCAGTTAAATCAACTTTAAAAGATATGGAACGTGTGAAACAGAGTTGAATGGATTTATTGTAATTAAAGTTATTAAAATAGTTTTGTAATACGTTAAAGACCTTATAAAATACTGAAAACTCAATTTGTAAAAAGTAAAGGAACTTGTAAGATAGTGTAAACTCAATTTGTAAAAAGTGAAGGAACTTGTAAGATAGTGTAATCTCTATTTTTAATAAATCAAAGAGCTTATAAAATAGTGTAAACAATCTATAATGAATCAACAAGCTTGTAAAACAAGGCTCTCCAGTTTTGTACTAATACCTTACCAAAATAATAGATACAGGCAACTAGAACTGGTTAACACCTACCCTGTAATAATAAACACAGGCAACTAGAAGTGGTTAACACCATGCCCTGTAATAATATACACATACAAGTAGAAGTGGTTAACACCTTACCCTGTAATAATAAACACAGGCAACTAGAAGTGGTTTACACCTTACCCTGTAATAATAAACACAGACAGCTAGAAGTGTTTAACGTCTTACCCTGTAATAATAAACACAGGCAACTAGTAGTGTTTAACACCTTATGTAATAATATACACATACAAATAGAAGTGATTAATAAACACAGGCAACTAGCAGTGATTAACATCTTACCCTGTAATAATAAACACAGACAGCTAGAAGTGTTTAACGTCTTACCCTGTAATAATAAACACAGGCAACTAGTAGTGTTTAACACCTTATGTAATAATATACACATACAACTAGAAGTGTTTAACGTCTTACCCTGTAATAATATACACATACAACTAGAAGTGTTTAACGTCTTACCCTGTAATAATAAACACAGACAACTAGTAGTGTTTAACATCTTACCCTTTAATAATAAACACAGACAGCTAGAAGTGTTTAACGTCTTACCCTGTAATAATAAACACAGGCAAGTAGTAGTGTTTAACACATTACCCTGTAGTATTCATATTTTTCTCTCAGATATCCTGGGTAGGTTATTTAAGAAAGGAGTTTTATAAGAACCAATAGATGTTATAAAAAGTTCAGTACGTTATAATAAAACGATTTTGGAGCCTCATCCAGTCGTTACAGTTTACGTTGCCAGTCCGGTTGTGCTCTGTCTGAAGCTTATGCATCTTGCTAATAAACCCGCAGCGTAGTTTCCACTATTTCCTGGTAGCTATTTCAGCGTACAAAGTCTATGGTTTCCCAGCGCCTAGTTCAACAATCCGAACGCACAGAAATCAATAGGCGACTTGACCGGTATGTCTTAGTATGGAATAACATAAATAACGGTTTTGTTTTTCAACTGTTAAAGGTATACGACGTAGTTATGGAAGTAGGTTGAATACAAGTGACTGGTGTTACTTTTCCAGACTAAGATCCTACTTGATTGTTTTGCGTACTGTTGCCTGCAACACGCGGATGGATTTTGCCATTGACCTTTGTGTTCATAGATTATCATTCGTTACATGACACTGCAATTTGCTTACCACGGCTGGAGTACGACTTCTTTAAAGTCTCTTCCTGGATGGTCCTGTTTTCCCCAATTTCATCCATATTTTTTTGTTTTTCAAAGCCATTAAACACAAGGTATGCCCTATTCTAAATCTCCGATCTGAACACATCTTTATGATCTGAGCTTATGAATATTTTGCGTCGGAAAGGGATGTTACACACCTTTCTTAAAAGCGATAAAATTTCGGTAGCACCACACTATTTATGTACCGTCAAACAATGTCAAAATGTAGTTCTGATACATTCCGTTCCATTGCTGTGGTTGTCACGCGATTTGATGATTTGCATATTCAAAACTGTTTTAATATAACTTACTCAACTCTCTGTATACCTTGTATTAACACCTTAGCCAAGGTTCTAGATTTCAATTCAGAGTTATTGTAAATACCAAGTATTAATAGACTTTCTATACAAACCTGTGAAGAATTTGTACTAGTTGTCCAATCGTTAGTCTGCTTACTACAGATATTGCGTGTTATGTACATTTCTGAACAACAGATTGATATTTCTGAAATAAAGAAACATCCATATGTGGAACAGTTTAGAAAACGAAAAGAAAATACAACTATTGATCGTATTGTTTGTTTTTGAAGTTTTTGTTTGCATGATTCTGACTGTTAGAAAACGTACCATTACATGACTCGCTGGTTTATAAGGGAAACTGATCCATATTGCATATTTCTTCTCATACTCTGAAGCTTTAAAACAAAAACGCAATTATATTCATAAGAATTACGTCTTTATTTATATATTATTATTGTCAGTTTGAGTATTCAAGAATCCGTTAGTGTTCACTAATACTGCAAGTGTTTGTGTTTCAACAACAACTGAATAGGAGAACAATAGTCAACTTTCAGTAATTCTCCAGGATATGTCAAAGAACTTGTGCAAATAGTGTAAACACAGTTTGTAGTAAGTCAAATAACTTGTAAAATAGGGTAAATTCAGTTTGTAATATGTCAAAAAACTTGTAAAAATAGTGTAAACACAGTTTGTAATAAGTCAAAGAACTTGTGTAACACATTTTGTATTATTTCTGGTTTGTTTGTTTAAGCGCAAAGCTAAACATTGGACCATCTATGCTAAGCCCACCATTGGTAGCGAACTCCGATTTCTAGAGCTATTATCCTTCAAACTTACCTCTGAGCCACTGGGTTGTTCGAAAGCAACACCTTTTGAACAAAAGGTTTGATGTTTATACTGAACACGGATTTCGAAGTTCTGCCAATATATTGTAATACGTGTTGCTAAATAAAGTCATATTTATGTTAAGAAATAAGGCTGTTTTCAAAAATACATAATCCTCGAACTAAGTTTTGAATGCGAAATTAGAGAACGAGAACTTATTTACACGTACTTAACAATATCTGAAACTTGAAATCAGGATTGAAAAACTAAGTACCATAAACCTGTTCAGTAAATATAAGAATTTCGATTTTTCAAATCATGATTGGAAAGCCAAGTGGTTCTGCTCTGTAAACCTAATAGCGTCATCATTCTAAACGCAGAATTGGAGATCCAGTTGTCAGACATGGACTATTTGGTCTTATAGCAGAGTCCTCATTTGAAAGACAATATTAGAGGGCGAACTGTCAGAACCCTGTTCTTTGCGCATAAAAGTACATTCCCGCCAAAGAAAGAGATCAGTAAGATGTAGAAGGGTACATACTATTTAACAAGGTTTCAATAGAATGGAAAATGTATTATTGCCCCTTTTGTTTTCCTTCTATCCTATACTTAGTAATTGGATTAAGGGCTTCCTTATAGTCCCTATGAAAAGAGGATCAACATACAAAGTTGCTAACTTGACAAGTTGCTCGATGGGATCATCTGCCAAAGCAGCAGCATTACTAGCAGAGTTTTACAGCATTCTCATTCTTTTTCTGCCAACTATCATCCACTGTCTACAACCTACTGATGGCACGTGTGTCAGAACAAAAAGATGTCACTGATTTTATTGTATAAGTTGAATATCGTGTTCTACGAACGCAGAAAAATATATGTAACTAAAACTGGCAAATAACAATAACGTAATAGATACTGAACATAAAAACACTCGCTTAATGTTAGCTAGATATGTAAAACTTGTCAGTAACTGACAATGAATACACTCATTTAACGTTATTTTACCATGTAAGAATCGATAGTTTCTTGACTTAGAAACTCTCACTTAAATGTGTAACAATTAACAGTAACTGGAAAAGGTGTTACCTGTTAAATGTTACTTTCGCATGTAACAACCAGTGGTTGCTAGAGTTAAAAATGTTAGCTGGGTGTGTAAAACTTGTCAGTAACTGAAGTTTTGAATACCAGTTGAACCTTAGTTGAGTGTTTTGCAACCAATATCAATAGAGTTAAGAAATACCGTCTAGTAAGACATATAACAGTGTACAGAAGGAAACAATCTTTA